CCCTTTGATCTTCTCCGTGCACTTTAATCTATGTGTGTGTGTGTGTGTGTGTATGTGTGTGTGTTTATGTATGTGTGGATGTCATACAAGATCGCATGATTTGATCTTTTGAATTACTTGGCGGATCAATCGATATACGTGATGGATCATTCGAAATGTTTGATGGATCAATTGGAATATTTGATAGGTTTTAAACTCTTACGACTGAAACTATCTTTTTGTTTTATTTCATGTTTTGTGCTTTCTTTAGAGTTTTATTTTTGGCATATCTATTTTAAATATCCATCTATTTAAAATTTTTTCAATTTCATGGCATTCTTTTCTTTAGCTGTATTTGATCTGAATTTCTTAAATTTAGAAGTTCAAAGGGAGGATAGAAAAAAAGTTTGTCCATATGGGTGCTTTTTTGAGAGAGAGAGAGAGAGAAAGGACGAGTTGATGAGTACACAGGTTACAGTTCAGAATTTGATAACCTCAGGTAGGAAAATGGTGATAGCAAAATAGGATTATTACATTTGTTTTGTCAGCTTAAATGTAATGCAAACCAATGATGAATTAACTGTTTATTAATTAATTACAGAAATAAGGAACGAATGAAAGTGATAAAAGATGTGAATTTCAGGTGCCGGTAAAAGTAGCACGTGAAATAGGCATCCGTTTTCCAAATTTGCCGGGTTTCTCGTCTAGTATGGTTCGTCGTGAAGCACAACTAACAACATCTGCCAGTGCTGCTACCTCGGGAGCTGCTGGGGTGACATCATCTATCACCACTTCCGCCATCGTTACATCATCGGCGACACCAACTACTGAACTGATTTAAGTTTAGAATGCGTGTGTGTTTTGATGCGCATTCATCTTTTTCATTTTTGTATTAAATTTTGATTGCAATTTCGCTTGTATCTTTCAAGATTATTGTGTGACAAATTTGTATTATGTTTCAAGTGATTTGTTGAAAACATCAAATGGACTTGAGAAGAGTAGGAAGTTTTGATTTCAATTTTTATCAAAAATAAATAATAGTTCTGACTGATGCTTGAGAATTTGGAATAGTGAATGATTTTGTTAAAAATAAGTTTTGCTGAAGACTAACAAGAGACTTTTTTGGTAGACATGGAAAAAATTATATGGGCCTAAGGAATACTGATTTTTCTTTTTTTTTTTATTAGGAAGGAATGTTGTGTTAACAAATTGTATCTCTTATTACTTGATGTGTCACGTAGAGTGTCGACTAATTTAATTAGGTAAATGGGATCATATATTTTTTTTTTTTCATTGAATATGTTTGTCAAGCAATGAAAAAGAAAATCTGAGATGTTATTCATTCCTTCCTATGAAACTTCCAATCTTAAGATTCTCAAGTTTTATGTTCATTTTCTTCCTTCATATTTTTTTACGAAAGACGATGAAAATTAGGCTTTCAATATCTTAAACATATATTTCAATGGCTTTCAGGCGTTGCTAAGCTTATAAGTTGACATAAAATTTATAAATGTAGAAAACTTACTTGATCAAAGTAAAGTAATCGTCTTTCTCATTTTTTTTTTTTCGAAGATTATCACATTTCTTCATCGTTTTCCCTTTCGGTTTGAGATGGTATGGTTTTGCGGGTAATGAATGAAAAGAATTTTGATTAAATTATTTTTATATTGCCAAGAAATATTGGTAAATCTGATGTTGTTGATAAATATTTATATATATATTTCTTTTCTTTAGTGTCCGTTATTAGCACTATGTCCTCCAGTACAATAAGATCTCTTCTCATATTATTATGATCTCTTAGTTTTTCTTTTTTTTTTTTTTTTTGAATTCGTCTTTTTTTTTATTTGATGTCGTTTTGCTTACTGTTTATAAATAGTTAAGGATTAGTTTATACATTTAAATTGTACTATTTCTTCTCATTCCTTTTGCCCAATCTCTAGTTTTTTTTTTTTTATTTTAAAAATCGAAATAATGGAATTATATCATTCATATTAATTCATAAAAAGATTCCTAAAAATCTAAGTATCAAAATAATGAAAGAATATATTTTAAAAAATTTGATATTTCTCCAGAAGTTCGACGATAAATGATGAAACTTATTAAACTATCAATTTTTGCATACTATTTTTCTATTTTGTTTCTTTTGTCAAGATCATTTGACATTCTAAAGAATTTTGTGACAACAAATCGTTATAGTAGTACAGGAAGTTTCCGGAAGTGAAGATGTGTACTATTTACGTAATAACTTAATACACGCATTCTCTGTCGTAGATTTTTTTGATAGGTTTATCAATGGTCAAGAACAAACAGAAAATTGAAAGATTTATATGAGTGTAGAATAAATATAATAGATTTAGTAATAATGATGATAGTTTGACTGTGAAGCAAAATTGTTATCGTCGAATACATTTCGTTGTGGTGAAATTGCAGTAAGATTATAAAATCTTTATTAAGACAATATGAATTTAAGATGAAAAATACTAATATACAGGGTAGCAAAATAAATAGGAGAATGTATAATTTTCATGTAGTTGTAGTTGAATTTTTGTCAAAGTAAGCAATTAATAGTAAAACAATCTCTTATTTGTGCCAGAAGTTAATAGCCCTTCAAAAAGAAGATGATGATAATAATCGAGATTAGTCCTTTAGAAGGAGATAATCATGATAGAGATTCTTACTTCAGAAGAAGAGTATTATTAGTATTAGGTTTGTATATATTAAAAGTTGAGAATGGTTTATAACAGAATTACAATAGATTATAATAGACATTACACCGGATTGCTTGCAAGAGACATTACACCGGATTGCACGAGACATGCATGACAGATGCATACTGTTTAGGGATTATAAGATTAAACCGGAAGATTAAGATGTAGATTTTTGTTAGATCAGTATAACAAATGAATACGCAATACAGCTGAGTTGAGAAATCTAAAAATTCTAAAATTAAATGATTCATAAACATTGTTAACAATTATTTACAATTTAAATAAAAATTTATTTGTATTATTTTATAAATTTATTTGAAGTCTTGCGACACTCTCTATTGTTTTGTTGTGTTATTTGCTTGCCAGATTTCATTTGAAATTGCTCTGAGAAAAGCATTGATGTGAGGTATATATATATAAATATATGTTTGCAAATCATTTTTATGTTTTTATTATTTGAAAGAAAAAGAAAAAAAAAAACTTGAAATGCTATAACAGAGCTTTTTGATGATGGAAGAAGAAGAATGCTTCAAGTTTTGTTAACTTTTTTCTTTTTTCATAAAGGCGGCAAATGAATGATTTGATTGATTGATGGAATAACTTTTTAGTTAATTGCTAGAAAAAAAAAAAAAAAGAATGAAGAGAAACTTTCATTTCACTCATCATTTTATTACAATTCATTCTTGCACTAAGAAGACTTTTTTACTTCTACAACTAACAGGGAAATTCTTATGAATTCGATTTTATAAATATTGAAATTTGAAATAGAATGAAAAAACTTGGATCTAATTAAATTATTCAAATTTTGCTCAAAATGTTTATCACATGAAATCAACAATGAAATATTCCTATGCAAAGAATTGAATTCAAAGGAATTAGATAGAAATATGGTTCAATCTTTTCCATCTTTTTATTTATTATAAAATTTGCTGAATTTTTTTTTTTTTTAACAAATTTAATAGCTTTCACAAATCTTGATAATTAATTAAATTACTTATTCCAAAGACATTATCAATTGTTTACTCACATAGCAGCAATACGATGCACAAAAAGCTATAAATCATTTTATTGTAAGAGATATATCAAAATGACCAAATTCTTATCACTGTTTTTTTAAATTATCTGATAAACCACATCACTCTAGCTGTTCCCTTTCAGTTTATAACATTGTTTTGAGAAATATCTTGCGAATAAGATGAAAGAAATATCATATGTATATATCACTATTATCAATTCTTTTCTAATCAACAATATGTTGTTTGATTCATTTTTTTTTAATGAAAGATTTTAATAACAAAACAAAAGTGTTATTTCGTTTACAACAAATAAATATATATAATTATTAACATGGATAATCTTTTCATTATGCTAAAAATATATTTTCATATGTAACAACATGATCAATTTATCCTTTCAACTCTATTGTATATATAAAAAGAAATATGCAAATGAAGCGAAAAGCTAATTTTATCGCAAATTCAATTTTAGTTTTCTTAAGTTTAATTTCTTAAGCTTAAGTTCAAATTTAGTTTTCTCAATTTTAGTTTTCTTAAGTTTAATTTAAGATTTGTAAAAATTGATTAGTAAATGCATACCATAAAGACATATGCCAATGTCTGAGAATTAAAAATTGAATAAAAGTAATAAACTATCTCAAGACAACATAAAAATACAAATAAATGAATATAAAAGCAAAGATCCATAATATACATATCTTTGTGCAAGAAAAAAAATATGGAAGCATTTTAAAAGTAATGTCTTAATTTTTTAATTATATTAAAAAAAAAAAAGATTGGCAGATAATTTAATAGAATTTAAGAATCCATGTATTATTAAAAATAGATGCTTGGTTAATGATTAGTTTTTTCTTTTGTTTGTCTTTTTTTTTTTAAATAAAGCTAATATTTCTTGTTAATTTAATTAATAACCTCATTTGAATTAAAATTATTCATCAATAACTGTTTATAATTCACCGATAATACAAAACATTTCACATTGAAAGTTGGAACAATGTCAATCTAAAAAAGAACTAACAAATCTCTTTGTTTAATCTGTCACTTCCATTAATTTTTAGAATTGAACTGTTACTAAAGAAAAGAAAAAATAAACCATTCCGATAATTCTTCTTTTGTGCTAATTCGCTGCAACCCTAATTTATCTGCAACTAAAAAAAAAGCACCAAAAATTTACGTATATGATATTCAGGAATAAATCACATAAATTATTTACATTCCGGAAAAGGGGAATCCAATGTAATTTGCACATATAGGAATTAACAGGTAATGAAATACTTACTGGTATTCGCTAAATGATTTACCAACCACCTCCACCACCCTGGTCATTCACAGCAACTGTTGGATAAAGTCCTTTACCACCTGCACCGGCATTACGATCACTACCTGCGTTACCTCCACCAGGTTGGAATGGTGCTGCAGGATAAGCACCACCACCCTGATAACCTGGAGAGGCAGGAATATCACGACGTTTACTACCACCACTTAAAAGTTGACCGGCTAAATGACCCAAACCGACGCCTCCGAGACCTCCCAGGAAATTGTTGAAAGCTCCACCTCTTCCACCTGAGGACCTACCAGTACCCTCACCCATCGGTCCCCTACCACCACTCTCAATATCGGAAGGCCCTTGTCTTCGTGGGCTATTGCTGCTACCACCACCCTTTCGACAACAACAGCAGTAGCACAAACAACAACAACAACAAAGGATAGGCAAAATAATGAGAACAAGTATAATCCAAAACCAAAGTGGTATATGAGGCAGAAGACTTCCTCGCTTTTTGCCACCATCTGGTCGAGGTGATGGAGGAACAACTGGACCAAAACCACCTCTATCATCAACAGCACCTTTGTCACCACTTGGTACTTCGGCTCTTCCTTGTTTTGATATAGCTTTTTCCCATGTTTGTTGTATGATATTGCCCAATGCTTGCGGATACTCTCCTTGTTGGAAAAGTTGCTTCTATAACATCATACTACTCCTTATCAAAAGATACAATTAAGTGATTGATCAAACCGATCGACTAATTCAATAATTTCTTAGGTATAATGAGAGAGAAATTAATCAATAATAAATTTCTCTATCTATTTTATTATAATACTTGATACACTACCAAAAATACGACCGATTTTTATCATTTTTTTAAGAAAGAAAGAAAAATAAAACTCCAATCCTCACATTATATTCTGGTAATAACGATAAAATTGATTACAGCCTGATTTTTAATTTTGTCATATGTAAACTTTGGTAACGATGATTTTAAATCTTCTATAAAAATTCAAAATGTAATCAGGGAACTTTTATTATTTATCATCTTAAAGTCTAATCTATTGAAAAGTAATAATTCGGATTCCTAACGACTGAAACATCATGCTAACTTTTAGAACATAACGAGTTTCAATAACTATACTCGATTCGTTTTTAAGCCAAACATAGGTGAGAGAGATATCATGGAAGAAAAATGCAAAATTTATAAATTACCTGAGAATTGAATATTTGAGTAAATTCTTGTGCATACACGGGAACTCGTGAATCACGCGCTACCCAAAATCGACGATCATCGATTGCAACCATAAAAACGACTGATTTATGACACTGACCATCTAATGTCCATTTTCGAAGAATTTGATTTGCCATTTCTTTGATAGCCTTAAAAATTCGTTCATTTCATGGTAAATTAATGTAAAATCACTTCTTTTCAATAATGAATTCTATTTTTTCATCTTAATGTTATGAATAAAAACAAAATCAAATGCCTTAAATAAGTTCAAAGTAAGAAAATATCAGAAGAAGAGTCATTCTTCGTCAAACTGTGAGATACAGAGTAAAAAGAAGAAAAAGTGAAGCAATAAGGAACAAAACTCTGAAATACATTTCAGAAAGAATAGTATCATCTTTAGATATTCAAAAAATAAACTTTTCTATTACTATTACTAATACTAATACTAATATCACTGTTGACAACAATCTTAATACGAAATCGAGAATTAACTTAACTAACCTCATCAGAATTTCCTTTAATATGTTTAACAATAGCCATTGCTGCTGTAATTCCCTTTTTCTGACAAAAGTCAGGAGCATGATCCTATAAATGAACATTGGAGAATAGAATATATAAATATAAATTGAAATAAAAAATTAAACTATTGGAATTTATTTCCATTGATCAATTTAAATTTTCATTAATGAAAGGAATGAAATGGAATAATAGTTAAAATTATGAAATTTCTTTATATTAGAATTTATTTTCATTTATCAAACTAAATTGATGATTATAAAAAAAAAGAAATAAACCTGTCGGGTTCGTGATTCCAACTGATGTAATTCATGATTTAATCGATAACGTTGTGATTCAGTTAATATTTCATCTGGATCACATATATTTGATGTTGTTCGCATATTACATCGTTTATAATCACCAGCTGTTGGATTCGGAAAATTTGATACATCCCATTCCAGAGAGAAACAACCGGAAAGGAATAGCAATAGTGAAATAAACCGTAATGAACCAATTGATGATGAACCCATTACTGAAAAAAATATTACTATAAAAATAATCCGGAAAGAAAACATTTTACATTTAAAAGATTAAATAACCAATAAATCAAACTATTTAAATCATAACATGTATAAATTTCAATAATATTATGTATTAAATTGGTAGTTATTCACTTGTAACTGTAACTGACAGGAGAGATAATAGACAAGCAGTAAGTATTTATAACAGGTCAAAAGGTCAAAGGTTAAAAACATTAATAAATTATATTGAAGTATACTACATGTATGCAAGCATATGATAATAAATCGATAAACTTTTACATTATCAGTAGTCTCGCATTGTCAACAAACATTGTAAAAATATTTTTTCATTCAAAATTATTCAAAAAGTTCACAGTAGAATATTGCAAAATAGGGAACAAAAGAGATATATTATTAAAATATTATTAAAAAGAAATAATAAATGTTAAAGCAAAGTGAAATTAATTAAATAATAATCCGAATCTTAAATAATATTGAAGAAATTAGAACTTCTATTACCCTTTTATTCCAAATCAAAGTTCTGTCTATTTTCTTCAGCAGCTTTAATAACTTTTAAAAATATATTTAAAAGAATTACTTTAAATTTTGTCCCAGAGTTCATTCTAGAAAATTACTGGAAAAAGTTTACAGTAGCATAAATGTTTCAAATTAAAATTTTTCATTTTCATTTAGACAATGATAAAAATGCAGAAGGAAAAAGCGAACAAAATGAAGAAATGAGGAAAAAATTTATATAATAAATAGTAATAATAATAGTATAATACAATAATAAATAGTAATAATCAATAGTTAAATAATACTAAGTAAATATTGTAAAAAAAAAATAATTTATAAATGATAACAGTGATATCAAATAATACCTGTTGTTTTGGAAAATGAGACATATTACATATTCTTGTCAACTTTTATGTTGTTGCCTAGCAACTTTAGCAATAATGGAATGAAATTAATTATCATAAACTCATAATTCTTTTAACTGTAATGAAAAAAATGGATTGAAATTAATTTTATCACCAATATGTATGATTAATAAATTAAAGAAATATTATCGCTCGAACTTATTTCTATAAATTAATAATATTTTGATGGTAATAATAACAGCAATAATAATAGCAATAACAATGATAATAAGGACAATTAATAATGGTAATACTAATTAATTAACGATAGTAACAATTAACAAATAATGATAGTAAATAAATAAACTAATTAATAATAAATAATAATAATAATATTGAAGTGACAAATATGAAATAAGCAATTAATTAAATGAGCAAGCATGTTAAATAAATAAATAAATTGAAATATCTTAATTAATGTCGAATAAACCGAATAAGTACATTTGCATCTTTTATAGGTCAATATTGCAAGTTCGCTAAATATTAACTTTTCTACCCATTCATCCATCTTCCTTTTTCTTTCTCTAATGATTATAGCTACAGTGCACTATTCCGGATCCGGTCATACAAAATGGATATCTCAAAAAGACCAGATCAATTATAAAAACTGTTTAAAAAAGCAAAAAATTTCAGTTTCAAATAAAAGAATGAAAACAATTTCAATTTTAGTAAACAAACTTTTTAGCCAATAATTGATTGTTTCTAAAATGAGAAAAAGAAGAGAAAAAAAAACGAATTTAACTGACAAACAAGAAAAATGAAAAAATTGTAATAATATAGCAATGTTTTGCTTTTTATTAATTTAATAAATAAATAAATAAATATATATATATATATATATATATATATATATATATATATATATATATATATATTTAAATATTTAATTTTATTTATTCTGAAATACTTGATACTGTGAACTATATTTCATATTACAGAAACTAAGATAAAAGGATAGACCAATGTTCTGCATTACATGATGTAAACATAACAATATATGGTATGTTACATTTCAACGACGTGAACATGACGGGATATATGCGTGTGTCACGTTCTAAAAACGTGTACGCAACGATTATATGAGAGTGTCTCATACGGGGAATGTGACGGAATATGAGAAAATCGATGTGAAGGCGCCTCTAAATAACATTTCTAAAAAAATTTGAGGAATCGATGAAGCAACCCAAACACTTCTCATAATGCAATAACAGCACTTTCACTGTCTCCTGCATTTTATTTAACGTTGTTATTTGTTATTTTTAAAAGCATACATACACACACACACATACACACACATACACACACACATACACATACACACATACACATATATGCGAAGAATATGAGATTCTACATTAAAGCATTAAATGCGTTCCATTAATTGTGGAGTAAAGTGCAGGAAGGATATGTGACATGCACTTGCAGTATGCAATCGGAGAGAAACATCAAGGAATCGTCAAAGTCTTTGTTTATAATCGAAGGAGTTAGAAGGGGAAGAAATTCGTTATATGCATTTATTCTTATGACAGATCATTGAGCAGATATGATAGTTGTTTTGTTAAGATTTTCCTATGAAAAATTCAATTAAATGACAAATGAATGTTATTAAAATGTATGTTGCATATATGAGAGCATCGGCATCATTGATTCCTTAACTGACCGGAATAATCAGTAGATGAGATAGAAATGATTGGAATAGTGTAAATATGCTTTAATTCCTTTTCTGCTTGCTTTGTGAATATTTTCATAACTCTTCTTAGCAATCAATCATAATGCGACTTCTAATAAGTCAAATATAAGTCGTACGTGAATGACGTGAATGTTTAGTAACGAACAACAATTACGAAAGTTATCAGGATTTATATTTTGGAAACAATTTTAAGAGTGAATAAGTCATAGCAAAACTCATTTTTCAAAATTTAGTCTGTTCGTAGTTTTAAAAATTAATAATAATTACTTCATCAAACCAAAATATTGCAAACAAAATACCATCCATTGAATAACCCAGCATACTTCTTTTATCCTTTGCTAGTAAACAGTGATAGTTCACTTCTCTTAAGCACTATTGTACATGAAGTGAAAACACTACTACCTTCTCAATACTTCAAAATCACGCAAATCACTACTCTCGAAATGGAATTCAATTGTTAATAAAGAAGCTAGTCACATTTTTGGATGCTCCAAAAAAAAGTTAAACAGCACGAACGGTGTATATTTGAATTTTTTAATGCTACAGATAAACAAACATTGGTGAAATAACGGAAGGAACAAAATCAGTGAAATTCAAAATAAAGTAAATTGTACAGGAAGCCAATTGTACAAGGAAAACGATACATAAGCAATAAGGAATGGAAGGGAAACAAAAAGAAACATTCAAATTGGTTGAATATGCAGCGCTTGAAATTATCAAATTTAAAAACTGACATTAATGCATCCATCACTGGCCCACTGAGAGCATATACTGCTAATAAATGCATCAGACCTATGAACATCCGGAAGACTTTTTTTTTTTCTGTGGATTTATAGCTTATGTTACTACTCATAGTTTCAGATTTACAAAATTATAAATGCTTACATTTTGCGCCAGAAAGTGCTCTTCATCACTTTTTGCATCCTTGAAGCGCTTAGTGCAATGCATTTTTACCGCAAGCAGCTATGCATCCAGTTGTATTAACATGTTTCTCCTCATTCACTGTATGGTGGCAAAAGATTTCGTAGAAAAGGCGCAAATCTAATATTGATGCAAGCGCATTGTGTCACCATCACAACCATCGTGAATCTTCAGAAATTTTCAGCAAAACTTTGAGCACTTACATATAGGATAAACAGAGATGAATATAATTGGATGAATGATGATAAAGCTAACAGTTTACCGCCCAAAGCGGTTCTTTAAAGAAAATAGAAATGAACAAAAAGCAAAGCGGAACCTAAACATACACAAAAATATTAACATATATTTTAGCTTCAACATTTCTGTCTAGCTTTAGGCTTCGATAATGGAAATTCATGCCTAAGATTAATCATTTGTTAGCACAATCAATTTACCACCGATAAGAGAAAATGGAAAATGTTGCAGATGATGAATTTTCGTTTGTACAAAATTAAGAAAATTTTACAGGAAATGAAATACTACTACAATTAAACATCGACAGATTTCAAGCAAAATTTTTTCCAATGTTCCTGGTGTAATATATTATTGTTTAACAGCAAAACGAATAAGTTCTGCGATGTAAATATGCATTTTAAAATAGTATGCATGTCACTCTTTCCTCAATAAAGGCAATTAATAAGTCAATTTTTTGGACATCATACTTCTACATCAAGGATAAGCTAACGAAAAAGTCTAAAATGTAATCAGTGTCGTGGACAACTGCAAAGAGATAAACAGGATGAAAATATATGAATCCAAAATGCACATTCTAAAATAACCCGTACAAAGCAAACACTAAACACACTTTCTTTCGTTTACAAAAAAAAAGTCCGATAGATGGTATTCAGCCATGAAAGCGAGGAATCAGAATGTATTTTCTGGACAGCCCCCAATACTGGAACTAAATTATAAACATTATTCAAGAAAAAAAAAAAAAAACCCAATTCATTGAAAGAATTTTAATTTGACAAAACAGAAGAATTTAATAAATTTGTTGGAAAAATAACTTGCAATATATGAGTACCCTTTAAAATACTGATATGCCTAAAAGACCATCTGGTGACAGAAATAATAGTAAGGCATTTCAAAATTAATTCAGAAACTTATTTTTACAATTTCCATTGAATTCACTATAGAATTATGTCTACATGTCTACAAATAGAAACAATAATCACCCAACAGCATAATAATTTGATATGAGATATACGAGAAGCATAAACGTCATGAAAGATATCCACTGAAACAGCACATACAAACGCATCATTGGAGCAACATCAACATCTCCATAACCACAGATAAGTTTAGCAACAATTCTCACTTATCAGCAGTGATAGAAAGGAATGATCGAAATTACTACGACATCATATCAGCAACTGGGACTGGTTGTACTGCTGACATAACGTCACCTTTGATTATTTCCTGGATCTGAATTTAAAAAA